GGGGAGCCTGCTTCTCCCTCTCCAACTCCCCCTGCTTGTGTTCCCTCTCTCGCTGTGTCTCTCTCTGTCAAATAAATAAAATCTTTAAAAAAAAAAAATCTTTCCAGGGGCTCCTGGCTGGCTCAGTCAGTAGAGCAGGCGACTCCTGATCTCAGGGCTGTGAGTTTGAGCCCCACGTTGGGCATGGAGCCTACTTAAAAAAAAAAAAAAATTGTTTAAAAAAAAATCTTTCCAAATTTCAGGTGGACAAATACTACTCCACTCTCACATTAATTTTTTTATTATATTTTTCAAGTTGTTTTAGTCCTTTACTTATTTTGAATTGAAATCTTAATGTTTTCATTACTGTACTACATGAGCTCCTCACACATGAGGACATTAATCTTTTACTATAATGGTGGCAAATACTTTTCCCAGTTTATAATTTGGCTTTTGTTATTTTTCACATTAAAGGTTTAAAAATCCTTTAACAGCTCCGTTGAGATATAACCCACATATTACACAATTCATCCTTTTAAAGTGTACACTCAATGGTTTTTAGCATATCTAGAGTTGTACAATTATCACCAGTCTATTTGGAGTATTTTCATCCCCACTAAGAGAAACCTTGTACCCATTAGATGTCACTCTCTTTGTCACAGAAATAAAAGAACCTGAAAACAGTAAGGTCCTGCAAATAAACAGTTCCGAGGGTGTGGTCAAGACTGCCAAATGCTATGGTGATCAAAATGAGGATTTAAGAGAGTCCCCTTGATTTAGTTAACTAGGCAAAGAATACAGAGGGTCCTAGCAAAGAGAAGTCGTCGCTTTCAATGAGTCTTGAAGGATAACCATTTTGACTATGTGTTTAATTAATCACATCAGAGACGTTACAACTCCACAAACGCTGGTTAATTACCAAAGAAACTGATGGAAGCTAAAGTTGCAACCTGGGAACCTCCTCCCCAACGCAAACTCTAATCTTGCCCCCCTGGGTTCTAGGCAGTGCACGCCAACCCAAGACATTTCTGGAACTACGGGTCCCAAAAGGCCACGCGCCAGACAACCACTGACTCAGAAGATAAATTGAGCGCAAGACCTTTTGGGAACCGTAGTTTACGGCGCCGACCTCAACACGCAGGCTCTGCATGCTTCCCACCAACTCCTTACTTGAGTTCTTCGGCCGAATACATCCCGAAGGAAATGCCCTGCAGCCTCCGCCAGGGCATGTTCTTTGAGCCCAACATCCTCCAGGTAAGTTTCGAGTTCTGACACCCAGAGAGAGGTTCCAATCACCACCAGCAACTTAACTCAGCCTCAAGCAGGCAGCCACCGTGTGATTTAAAATGCGCTTGCGCGCCAGGAAAGCTCGCTGGTTTGAGATTTACGTGGACGAGACCACTTCCACTGCAGGGGGGGGAAAGTAATTTGATGACTTTCGCTCAAGACATTTAAGTCACTAAAATAATAGTTTCGGAAAATTTCTTCGAGAAAAACGGGGCGTTTTGAGCCTTTAGCTTCCGTAACAAAGTCTTTCAAACCACGAGCTTTTTCAACCTAATTCTTGATCGCTTTTGTCTTGTTCCGTCTCAGCCAGTAGCCGAGCTATTCCCCGCCCTCCCTCTTGGTGATCCTGAAGGTCGAGGTCACGCTTTCCCAGCATGCTACGCGAAGAAGCCAAAGATGGCGGCGATCGCGACGCGTCGTTGGCTCCGGTTCCGCTGCAAAATTTGCCTGACCCTAACGGGTCAGCGGGCAGGTCCATGTGGACAGACCCCCAGTTGCAGGTAAGACACGCATGGAGAATCCAAGAGAAAGACCCCCTGGCCAACTTCGTCCTCTGTGTCAGCTTTTCTTTGAGAACCGGGGAGCTAGGTACAATGGAGTGGGATGCGCATGCGCAATTTCGCGGCCGCGTGGTTAGCCCGGCACGCGGAGCTGGAGTCCTGGAAAAAGGGCTTGAGACTCATGTGTTAGAGCGTTATTTATTGGGTGGTTGGCTTATCCTAGAATTAAGAACTGTCGGCAAGATTAGGATCCTGCTGTCGTGGAAATTGCGTTTTAGTGTGGCTAGTAGCAACCCCGTCCCAAATTTTAAAAATAGAAAAGTATGCGCCCTCATTCATTTTTATCAAACGGGGATCTCTGAAGATTTTCCCAAATTAAAGGCAGTTTATGAGGGCCACTGTGTGCTGGATGTTGTGGGGATGGTTGGCCAAAGAAATTATCCAGGTTTTCATAAAAACAAGGAAGATTTGAGCACAGCCTTTGGATTGCTGTGATTGTCACACCTGAGAGTATGTATTTAATTTTTTTTCACTAATCACAAGCAATGATGGTGTGGAAATAGAGTCTGTAATTCGTAATGAAAAGCTGGGAAAACCCCAATTTTGGATTCGATGTTTGTGCCATTTTTTTAGTTGATTAATAGACAGATTCTCTCTTTTGTAGACTGTAGCTAGTAATAACTATCCAAAAAATGGTGAGGAGTAAGTGAGCTGTGTAACTTCAGATATACGTCTTATATGCAATACTTTCATGCAACTTCTCAAAAAAGGAGAAAATGCTCCACCTGGTACTGTAGAAGCCTTAATGCTGCTGTCTATCCCAGTCCTTTTCCTGGTAGTGCCACTGTTGACATTTTTCTATTCATTTCCTTTGCCTGACAGCAGCATCTCTCCCTCTGCATTTACCCACAGGACAACAGTGGTCACTATATCATAATGTCAGGAGAGACAAATAGTGTGATTTGAAAGAGTTGATCCCTCTCTGAAATTGATCCTTAGCAGAAAAGTATCGTTTTCAAATGATGCTTGAGACCAGATACCAGTAGAGGAAGTGAATTTACTATCTAATCACGTTCTGGCAATTTTAGGAATGGTACCAACGCCATGTAGGAAAGGAATACACAAGATAATAGTGTACGTGACTGTGTGATATTTTGACTGTATTTCTTAGCGTTACCAGAACATTTTAAAACTCAGTCATGAGTCAGTGATTCTATATTTTGGATAAAAAGTAATATCGGCAGTTTCAAGTTTAAATCAGGATGTACATATCTGGCAAATTCCTGATTGTTGAATGAAGTGGGATGAAAGCCCATGATGATCTTAGCTTAATAATTTATCATAATTGCTTTAAGTGGGATACTCTTATCATCATTAGGGTGTTATTCATATAAAATCAGGAGCTCATTAAATCGTCCCTCTTGACCTCAGTATTTTAGATTACCAAAGTTGAAAGTTCCTTATATTTCAAATCAGCTACTTCAGTGGTTCAAGTGCTATTGAAATTTTTTCCTTGATTTTATTTAAGGAGATTGATTGAAAAATGTCGACCATATTGTGTCCGTATCTTGTATCTATTTTGTAATGGTTTTCAACTTACTGTTTAGGCCATGTCTTCTCAGTGTACATTGATATGAATCATTCAGTTACTTTGATCCATGACAATTGGAAAATTTGGGTTCAAAATGCACATAGGTGGAGGTGAGATGGAAACCTCAATAATGAGTGTTACTTTAGGGCTTTTATTTTTTGCAGATTTTATTCTGGAAGTGCAACCGTCCCAAAGGTTGAAGGAGCTAACATAACAGGTATATAAAAATATATTGAAATAATTTCGTTTCTGTGTTAACAAATTGCACTTATTTGTAGTAGTAGTAGTATTGGGAAACCAATTTACCTTTGTTTTATTTTTCAAATTAAGGGATTGAAGAAGTGGTCATTCCGAAAAAGAAAACTTGGTGAGTATTCAGTGTTCATTCAAGTGACTGAGTGCAAAACATTTGTAGGTAAGGAGGCAATGACATGAAGAAAAGTAGAGAGCATTCCTTGAGACAAAACAGCTGATGGGAGAAAAACTTGGGAGTTGAAAAAGAACATAAAGAGGAAGGTGGAGAGTAGTGAGTGAATGGGGCATGAGATTTACATAGATCTTCTGAACTGAGATTTGGTTAATAGTTAAATAATAATGATTAATTATGAACATCATTATTAGAATAACTTTTTTTTTTTTTCGTTTAAGAGAGTTCTTAGAAGGTGAGAGACCAGACAGAAGTGTTATCCGTACAGTCTTTAATAAAGTAAAATAATATAGTGTGGACAGAGTTTAGCCTTTTTTAGCTAACTAGGTAGATCTTTGAATAAATTGCCTTATTCAACATTTGTTGAATATGTGAGAACTGAAACTTCACAGAATTCTTATAGTAATGATTTTGAATGCATTTTATGACCCTCAAAAAGCCAGGTCTTCTCCAAGTAGGACCTGAAGACTCAAGTTCATTTAAAAAAAGAAAAAACTTTATTAAATTACAGAAGTAATTAACTATTGGGGGGGTGGGCTAAATGCAAGAAGGAAATAAAATTACCAGCAATCACTACTCAGAGGCAGGTTACTTAACCTATCTATCCCATAGTAAAACGTGGGTAACAACAGCACCAGGCTCAAAGGAGTGTAGCCTCATTTGCTAACGTTGTCTGTGGCTACCTTTATGCTATACTGATATAACATACAACAGAGTCCCTGTGACCTATAAAGTAAAAAATACTATTTGTTTCCTTACAGAGAAAGTGATGATTTCCGTGCTCAGGAATTTAGGCTTTTAGACCTGGAAGAAGCCATAAGGACTACAAATTCTTGTTGCCTTATTTTAGATAGGCATCACCTTTTAAGAGTGTGATTTCCTAGATCACTCAGGTAACTTAGAAGACTTAAATTATACAGGGTCATTGTGAGTTTTCATAGATGAATGTGATATGATAAAGGCAGTGTTGTGAACAGGTTAATTTGAATTGTATAGTGATTTTAGGGATGATTCAGGAAGTCCAGAGTGCATCTTCTGATTTATTCTCATATATAGCTGAGTTAAGAGCCACCACTTTAGATAAAAGAAGCAAGAGTAGCCCAGAAAGTGCAGTAAGAATGCATAGGAAAATGGGGCCCCTGAGTTTGAGCCCCACATGGGTATAGAGATTATTTAAAAATAAAATCTTGGGCGCCTGGGTGGCTCAGTCGGTTAAGC